GTTTATTTGTGAGATGCTAACACTTGAGATGCTAGCTTCACACACGTGTCATTAACTAATAATTTTGTTGATATCGACAATTGATGAACATTAATTGAGCGTTAATTAAAATTTCCTCAACGCTTTACATTTTTAATAGTTCATATATGTCATAGTTTGGAAAAGATATATTTATTAAATAAATAAATATTGCATTGGATAAGTTTTTTAAGCTTTGGCATTTAACTTTTCAAGTACTTTCTTTTTATTGTGCAGAAAATGTAATCTTCAAAATAAAAGGATTAATTGAATTATTTATCTTATAATTTTTTTATTTATTTAAAATATTTACATTTTCTTTATTTTCTCAATTCTAATTGAGGATAAAAAAAATTTAGTTCTATTAGAATACATTATTTAATTATAGCAAAGTAAAATTTTTTAAAAATTTGTATTAACTTTTTTAATTCTCTATATAAAAGTTTCGCATTATTACGGTTACTTTTGCAGTCGCTTTCGACAATACATTCGGGTATCTGCACTTTCTGCTTCGACAATTTTGTGAGCACGTTCAACATCCACGCGGCCGCGCAGCTAAAAATCTTGGCTCATAAAGTGGAAGTCGTCGTCGAGGATTGCATCAAGGATACGATGGATCAGAAAAGTCCGTTGGAAACGGATGCTACGGTTTTGACGTCCAAGAAATTGCAGGACTGTGTGCAGCGGCACATCACGCTCATATGTTACGTGCGTAACATGCGACGCGTGTTCTCTATTATATTACTCGGACAGTTGCTGCTTTCCAGCGTGGTCATCTGCTTCGGTGGATTTCAGTTTCTCGTGAGCTTTCGAATTTTACCGTCTTCTCCTTATTTCACTCGTCAGTTAATTCCACTGTATTTTCACTACAGCGAGAAATTCAATTAGATTTGATAGGTTTAATTCTGCATTTAAATTGAATTTAATCCTTTACAACTCTTATATTTATTTATTTACAACGTTTATAATTTATAAGCATAAAAATCAATCATAATATGTATATAAGAAAAGTTTCTGGAGTGTTTGTAATAGTTACATATTTATTATAAATAAAAGTGGAAAAATAAAGTTTTTTCTTTTTAATAATTACTCTGCCGTAAAGGAATCGACCACTATTTAAAATTTTTTGACGCACATTTGTTCGCAGGCGACAGATGTGGCTATCAGAAAGTGTATTTTTGCCTTCCATTTCGTGGGCGGCCTTATCCAGCTGCTTATTTATACGTGGACGTGTAATGATATAATTGTGCAAAGTACGGCCATCTCCGATGCCGCTTACAACTCCAAGTGGTATCTTTTACCCGACAACGGTCCAGGAAGGACAGTGAGGAAAGGGTTAATTATGATAATGATGAGAGCACGTCGACCGTGCATATTAACCGCCGGGCAATTCGCGGTTATGTCGTTGGACACTTTCATGGGAGTAAGTGCGACGCGCCGCATGACACGATCCTTTAAAAACTTTCCCCAAAGAAATTCATTTACTGCAAGCTGTAAAAAGCACCGCTATCGGAGCCAGTTTTCTTTTGCGGCAACAACGCTATAGTCACGAGTCGCACTTTATTCTTTTGCCCGGTTGTAAAATATGTCGATAAAGACACGCCTCGCACTTCTGGCACTTTCCTTATCTAAAGTTTTTAGATTATCCTTTACGTCAATATCCGGGTACCCATATAATATTTTAAATTAAAAAGTTTTTTTAGTTTTTAGCCATCAAGGTCCATAAGATCACCGAACTCTTTCAGATTTTCATTCTTTCGGTAATTTTATGTGGATTAACGTATTTATATTTATATAAATTTCAAACATTTAAACACATATACGCTTATTCGATAGCCGGAGTATCTGGGTATCCATAATGAGAAAAGTTGTGTCAAAACTATGGATTATAAAAAATGTTTGTGGATTATAAACAATATATAGCAAAAGAAAATTTTCGATTTCAAATTATTTCATCATTCTCTCAACTCATTTTACCTTATTTGATTTTATGCACATATTTGCATTTAACACGAATCACGGTTCAGCTTGTTATTGCTAAAGTTCGTTCTAATTGTATTATTATTGTATTATTACAGGATATCTGGTAATTATCATGCCATCTCTCGTGGATAGATAGTACCAGTTAAACTAAATAGAAAATAGAAAAGTCTTTTTGCCGTTTTGCAAGTTTTTCAATAATTAATGAGAAATTAATTTAAAAAGATTCGCGAATGAGCATGTGCCCGCGCAATTCAATAATAGACAGTCCAGCGTTACGCATTATTTGTTGTTGCTATAGACGCATGCCTCTTCCATTGTCTCGCCGCGCGTGTAGTAACTGCAATAATTGTGCAATGCTAAGTTATTCCTTCTCTGAAATGCGCGGACGCACGCTGATTAACGGATCTTAATTAATTAATTTTTTATTAATTATTGGAAAATTTGCAAAACAGATAAAAGACTTTTCCATTCAGTTTAACTCGCTTTATCTGCCCACGAGAGATGGCACGGTAATTACCAAATACCTTGTGTATTATGGAATTATTTTAAATGTATAATATATTTAATTGTTTTTTATTCCATATATGTATGTATATATTTGCATTAAAAGTCAATTGATTGATTAAAAATAAATTCGCAAATATATGGAATAGAAAACAAGTTAATTAAATATATTATACATATAAAATCATTCCAGGTAAAGCAGGTAAAGCGAGTTGAACTGTATAGAAAAGTCTTTTACTTTTGCAAATTTTTCAATAATTAATGAAAAATTAATCAATTATTTTAATCAGTTGTTTTCTTTTTTTGTGACAATCTAATATTATTTATACTTGTAACAGATATTAAGTACAGCGATGTCGTACTTTACGTTATTAACACAAATGAGTGAAAAGAATATATAGTAATAAAGTATATGCAGCAGTTCTAAAGAAGAGATTCCTAATATTAAAGTCGGACAAATTCAGGTATATACGGTATACCAATAATTAGTTTCAAATTCAGGAAGACCTTTTGCATCGATGGAATATCTTTTCTCTGTCGGTAAGTATTCAATCATATTAAAGTCAGATTATTATAAGAATTTAAGGATTATATTAAATAAATATATGTCAATATTATGTTAAAATATATTGAGAAAAATATGTTTATAATTAAATAAAATAGCAAAACATTATAAATAGAAACGGGTTTTACATATTGATGATTACGATTTTGTAATCTTCAGTAGATCATTATCCGACATATGATACAAGTGAAATGACATACGTTAAATGTAAATGTAGAATTCGCCTAAAAGTCGCATTGCCATCAGTCGGCATGCTCCGTCATTTTAAGTTTTCAACAGATGAGAATAATAAGAAATTGCGAGAATTACATGTAGCATAATTTAAAGATAATCAAATAAATAATTTCGTATGTTTTTCAAATTAATATGACACTATTTTTATTAGAGTAATAATTTATTTATTTTTCTTATGCTGTGCTTACAGGTATTACTTTCTCATTTGCTTATATTCTTACTTTTATGTCTATAGAGTATATGCAGAAAATACAGAAATCTAATAAAATATATCATAAAACCGTCTAAAAGATATCTAAAGAAACAACGTATAATTATTTTAAATATGAGTTTTGATAAAAACTTTATATAATAGACAATTTTTTTTTACATATACACACACACAAAATTATATACTTATTTGATTGAGATTTAATTGCTGGCATCATACACAAATGTTTCATCTATTTAATATGTTCCAGCTTGAAAATTGAAACAATTTAATGTATTTAGATATATTATTCATTTTCTTCTTCTCCTTCTTCTTCTCCTCCTTCTCCTCCTTCTTCTCCTTCTTCTTCTCCTTCCCCTTCTTCTTCTGCTTCTTCTGTGTTGCCTTGCGAACCATGAATAAATTGTTTGAACATCTCGAGAGGTTCACCATTAGCTTTCTCATATCCAGGTGCAGATGTTTGTACTCTCTCTAACCAGTCGGAAACGTTTTGGTATTCTCCTAAATCGAATCCAAAAGCCTAACGTAACACATAATAAACCGATTAAATTTGCAATAATATCTAGATATTAATTGAAAATTGGCAACAAAGCAATCAAATCCAGATCAAATTACTACATAGAAAGAAGAATAATCTCTTGAAAATATTTATGAAGAGGAATGTTACACCAAAAAATAAACTTGTAACAGTTTATTGTTTTATCTTATTCTAAAAATAACTGATTATTCATATTGCATAACACCATCGAAATTACCTCTGCTGTGGTTACGGAGGCAACCAAAGCAAGATCGGCGATCGTTAAATTATCTCCAGTCACGTAATCTTGACCGTCGAGAAAAATATTCATAATTTGGAACGATTCTGTTAGTTTTTCAAATTGCGCTGGATCATACGTATCGGCCTCCTTTCTGAGCACGGTTAGCTACAACAAAATGTGCAATAATCGGTCACACTCGGCCGCAACACGGTATATTTAGAAACAATGAAATATGTACGTACGTAATAACCGTATACACTCGCATAAAGACTGCCAAGATCGAAGTACAATCGTTGATTAACTAAAGCACGTGCCTCTGGATTTCGCGGATATAATGTGTCATCCTGGCCATACTGATCGGCCAAATAAGCCATGATAGCTCGACTAAAATATGTCATTTTTTAATAAATATCGCAGAAGTATTGAACTACATGTCACGGCTATTAAAAGATGCATCTACAGACCTTTCCGACAGCTTGAGATCGTCGTCGACCATGAAAGGAATTGTCTTTTGCGGATTCAACTGGAAAATAGAATTGTGCTCTTTCTAATATTAAGAAACATATTGCTTTTCAATATTTTACTTCACATGCAAACCACTGTCTAAAGTAAGAAACAAAAGTATTTCACTTCATAATACATTCATTTTTCATACCTGCTCATATTCCGGTGTCAAGTGCTCACCAGCCATTGTGTTCAACACTATCAACTCCATTTCGAGCCCAATTGCCTCTGCCACGAGCATGACAGCTCGGCAAGGTGGACTCGGAGGCAAGTAATACAGTTGCACGGGCATACTTGGATTTAAACAGCAAAATTTGCTACTTATTGATGTATTATTTATGTTATTCGCGTAATTTATAATGCGTTCACAAGTATTATCTCTTTGTCAATTTTAAAATAATAAGTAAAGTATTCGGTTCGCGAAAACAAATGTACATGCAGTTCTAGGTTTGCATAAAGACTGAACAGTCTTGGGCTGTAACAGCTCATCAAATCGATATGCCGACGTGTATTTAAATGCGACTGCCATAGCATCGGCCTTTATTAGAGTTTCATTAGAGATATACACAAATAGATAATCGGATAGATAGATAGATAGTGTTATTTTTATCTTTCTTAAGGAATATAAGTGTTTTAAACAGTTAAAATACAGTTTAAGCAAGATAAAAAAGATAAGAATTATATGTATACATATAATTATATTATATACATATAATTTAAAAAATATCAAAAATAACTGGAAACATAACGTGATATTTAATGGACATAATAGTCATTATCTTCTCGCACATTACACTAGAGTATTATAAACTACAGTTTTTACATAATCTATAATACTTTGTCTTGTCTAATATCTATCGTATTTCTGCGATTACCGGCTATATATGACAAATGTAAGTACAGGATATTATACTGTAATTATTGCTATCGTTAAACGCTGTTTAAAGAGTTTAGAATTAAATGAACATCAAATATCGATTATCGACTATCGATTATCCTGCAACAATTAATACGCGAGGGTTTCTCAAGTAGTCAATATCGTATATCGCGCGGTCTAAACTTCTACGTTTTTGGAAATGTTATTTATTAAAGCACGACAATTAGTAGCAAATTACGCGCGTAATAAAACCGAACGAGCTCATTTGAAAGACTCATTAACATCGAATCTTTGAACCAAATATTATTTTTATGAAAGGCGCGATATGAGAATAAAAATAGAATAGAAAAGTTATTAGTTTCATTTTGATAAATTTCTAAAACAACTCGCGTTTGAAGAATTACATGATACTTTTTATTTCAGGAATTATTGTAGCATTTCAATTGTCGCTTCAGAGATATTAGTTGAGAAATTTTCTCTTATTAATATTATTTACAGAAAAATTAATAGTATTTAAAATAACGATATTTAAATATCATACATAGTCGTTGTGAAATCTTCAGAGAAATAATAAAACAGTATGCACGTTCACCGCTTCTGATTCACAGCGCTCATTTCGTTAGCTTTAAATTGCTTTCATTTAAAAACTACTACTGTTCGGATGGAATTTTACTACAGGGAAAAATTGTTGTTTCTGGTACAAAGAATTGCATTGTGTATTCCATTGTGCGAATTCTAGGACATCTTGCATGTGTAAAATGTATGTAAAAAACACACACATTATACATATATACATAAATTATTATAGAGTAAGTGAAAAAGAATTTTTATTAGAATAATTATATTAATTATTATTAATTAATTTTCCGTAGCTTTGCATATATATGACATAACTTTGCGACGGTCGATAAGATGAAATTTACCTGTTAACAAGATTTCAAGTGGAAAGTGGAAGATTTTGGTCTGGCTTCGTGAAAACTTTTTGTGAATGGCTTCGTGAAAACCACAAAGCCATGCTGCAAGCTAGGTCAAGATTCTTCAAAGGCAGAGCGTTCATGGAAACTATGCTAAAAGTTTTCCCGTTGTTAAGTGACCAGCAGAGGTGAGAATTTCCAACTTTACGTCCGTGAATTTGCGGGGAATATATATCCCGTAATATTTTAATAATAACTTTCATCAAATGTTATAACGAGTGAAATAATGACTGACGAAATAGAATATTAATTAATATTATACTTGGAAATGTTATCATATAAAATACAAGTTTTGTGCTACCTACGATTGAATATTATTTACAATTAAAATGAGTTTTTATGCATATAGTTATTGTCTGTTGTATTAATATTATGCGAGTTTTAAAAATCCGTTATGATAATAATTCTAAAATTGTCATTTTTAATTCTATATCATATATTTTCTCTTTATAGTTTTCTATAAAGATGATTAATAATAATATTAATCTTAAAATATAACATATATTTTAAATGTTTTTCAGAATTCAGATTTTCAATTCTATTCTCTTTAATTTTCTTTTTCTCAGGTACATCAGACCTATGTTAAAACTATATTATTCATTGTATATTTTTAAATTAACGCTCTCTTAATTTGTTTAATCGTAATTTATTTGTGCAAAATCAAAATTCATGATGTATAAAAATACTGCAAGACAAATTAATGTAAAAATATTATAGCACCAATGTATTATACAACTATTAAATCATCACAAAATCACTTCTTTTTTCTAATGTTGTCGACGAAAGCTTTGAAGGCTTTTGTACCTTCGCCTTCGATTTCATTGTATTTAGGAGCTTCGGCTTGGATCTTGGCAAACCATCTCAGAATGTTGCTATATTTACTCAAGTCGTGGTCCATAAGCTGGAAGAAGAGAAATGTTAACGTTTAAATTGTTAATTCGATGTTATTTTTATTATAATATTTTATAAAACTATATTTTCGACAAAATTATAGATTTTCGATTTTATATGTTTTTTATTTTATTCATTTTATAATCAATATACTACATTATATAGCAAAGTTTTACAAAAGTTTTAAAAAGCAAAAAAATTTGTTTAAAATTGACAATAATGCAAATAATAATAATACTAATATTTGAGAAATAGCGCTTTTTTATGTCTTACAATTAGAAATACTTCTTTTTTTTACATTAATGATTTATTAATTTTATAAATGTTTTAATGTGTGGGGGGGGGGGGAACAGTGATGTTTAATGTGAAACCAATTTCTTACCTTAAAATTAGCAATCGTAACAACCAAAGAAAGATCAGCAAGAGTGAGAGTTTTTCCTGCTGCATAATCTTCCCCTTCTAGGAATTTATCCAAAAAGGCCAAGGCATTGTTGACCTTGTCGTATTTTGCTTGCTCCGGAGTGACGCCAGAAAATACCAATGTATACTGTAATTAACGTTCATACAAGTACGGCCATTAACTTTATCAATCACTACGTGCTAAGTACATTATGAAGTTTTATACGATTCAAGGATAACTTACGTAATAATCGGCGAACGATTGGTACAGAGTTCCCAAATCAAAGTATAATCTTTGATCAACCACAGCTCGTTTCTTTGGGTCTTTCGGGTAGAGAGAATCGTTCTTGCCATATTGATTAGCCAAGTAGCTCATAATTGCGCGGCTGCAAATTGACGCAAGCGCGTAAATAATTAATATCATAATAATAAATAACTGGCACTAATTTTATCAAAAAATTTTGTAAAAGATACATACAGATATATTTGACAGACATATACAGAAATTTGAAATCTGTTTTGCACAAGTACAGGATAAATAGCAAATAAATTAATAGCAAATAAATTAAACTTAAAAAGAAATATAACAAAGTTGATCATTATAGAGAAAAATATATTTATTTTATACGCGTAAAAATCGGACTTGCAATATTTGTTAAATGTTAAAATAAAAAGATTAAAAAATACTTACCTTTCCCACAAATATAGGCCGTTATCATCTAGTGTAGGTATTGTATGTTGTGGGTTCATCTATAGTTAAAAAATATACAAATTAACAATTATTTTAAATTATTTGATAATATTTGAAATTTAGAATATACTTTTATTCGATAGAAGTTAATTATAAGAACTTGGAAAAGAATTAAAGATAAAAGAAGAATAAAAACACAAGATTTGTTCATGCTTTTTTAATATTAAAAGATACGATTTTTAAGGAAAACGCTTTGTTTGAAGAATTTTTAGTTTTAATTATAAATTACTGTATATGTTCCCGGCATTATATGTTATCGGCATTGTTATTGCAAAGTAAATTTATGTACGACAAAATCAGTGTCAGGAGAAAAACAAATTGTTGTACGTAAACAGAATGTTTAAAGCTTTATATAAAACATTTTTTTATTTACGTAAAATGTTTTTACACCTTTACATTTTCAATAATAAGAATATTAAAACCGGTAATAAATAAATAGTCAACAAATATGTTTGCGCAACATAAACATCGTTATCTATTCTGAAAAAAGTATTTAAGTAATTTGCAATTGAAATTATCCGAAAATTCTTAAAAAATATTAATTAAAAAAAAAACATCATAATTGTAAATAGATCATTTTTAGAAACAAAAGTTCTAAATACTGTGTTTGCTCTCGTGTTTTTGATTTAAGACTAATTTAAGTATTTTACATTGGAAAAAGAAATTTGTTGAAAAACGCAAAATGTGTTTCATCCAACTAAAATATTTAGTCCGATACGTTCAACTAAACATTTAGTTGGTTTAACTAAATATTAGTTATAAATTAACTAATTCTTGATTAAAAAATTTTGATGGTTGACATAAATAAACTGTACTTTTTTTAGTGCAACTTAATAATTGTTGAATCAATCATTGAATCAACAACTATACAAATTTAGTCCGTACAACCAATTTTTTTTTCAATGTGGCATTTATATCCCTAAATATAACACTTTATTTTGCAGAAAATTTCATTACAAGTTACCTTAAGAAATTCAGGTTTTAAATGTTCGCCAGCCATAAGGTCAGTATGCTTCAGGTTTACATCCACTCCTACGGCCGCCGCCGCCAAGCGCACGGCCCGACATGGCGCACTTCCGGGAACTTGGTAAAGATCGATGGGCATCTTGAAATCTGCTAAAACGCGCGACGCGCTATTAATGAAGCGGCCAGTGTGATCGATCGCACGTCGGGCATTCGGGACTATTCGAGCGGCGAAAATAGTAAAACTATTTTCGATGAAAAGCGAGATCTTTTGGTGTTTAAAAGAGCAAATGATTATCCGCGCGCGAAAAAAAAAAAACAGAAGGAAACGAAAAAAGTAACTAATGTATCAGGCGAAAGAATTTGGCGGTATTATCTCAGATGATTCTAGTTCAAGGCACATAAATTTGCATTATCAATTAGTCAAAAGCAAACTTGTCAATGATAGACCGCAAGTTATAATGAACAGGCGCGGCGCACCGTGGCTTTACACATTCAACTGTGCGCCGCACCGGGCAGACGTGGAAAATGATTCCGCAAGTTTTCCACGTTCATAAATTATAACGTAACGAGGAACGATTAAAGCACTCGCCGAATTCCTTCGTCGCAGAGTCGACCTCGCGCACTATGAATCACAAATATTCGCAATAGTTGAGGCAGTCTTATCATTTTAGCAGTTTTGGCGAATTATTTGCGGCCAAGCGGGGAGGAATGGGAAGTCACAACGGGTCGAACCTGCGGATCGTATTCTCTGGAGACGCGTAGCGAGAGATTATAGCGGACTGTCTAACCAACTTGCTTGTTCGGGCTATTTATAAAGCGCGCGTAACACGGCACAGCCTCTGCATCGTACGCACGCAAGAGTGAGATCGATGCGCGTCCGGGGGTTCTCAATATTTACTAGCCGTCGCGTCGGGAGGCGTTGCTACCTTCTGCTTCGGTCGTGACTTTCTCGATCGTGTTCCAAATGTCCCATTTACATAATAGCGATAAGTGATAAAAATTGCCTCGAGCAACAAACGAACGATCGATATGCATTATTAAGAGATCGTTTGATGGCGAGTATAATGATACTTTACTTCGCGCGAATCGGCCTCGCTTGACCACCCAATTGCTCCCGCTTACAACATTATCGTTCCGCTTATCTTACTTTGCAACAATTTCTGTAGTTCAGTCAACAAAATTTACATAAATTCATTATTCAATGCTTCGGTATCAAAATGCGAATAATTACAATCGCAATATTTTGTTTGCAAAATAATGCACTGCTGATAAGTCTTCATTTGCGAAAGTTCTGATAAGCAAGCTGAAATATTCGTGAACTTGATCAGGCTACGCTTTAATTTGCACTGTTGAATGTTAAAGGGTAAAATTTAAACTAATATCTTGAGTTAAATAACATTTTGTTATTTTTAACTATTATGTGCGTCCAAATTTATTATTTTAAAACAAAATAGTATGATTTTAACTCCGTTGATTTAGTTAAATTAAAACACTAATTAGTTCTAGCGTGCCGATGATTCGTCGCTGATGAAAAACTTGCTAATCACACTCTTCTTTACACATCATGAGGAAACTCTAAAGTTTCAGCATTGCCGCTGTTAGGCAAATGATTCAGCAAGATTTGTATCAACAGCGGAGAAAATGACGTTGATCTCGTCCACGCCTACTACATCGGTAATAACACTAACGGATGACATATCTTATTTTGTGTGAATAATTATTTTATTATAAATAACATGGTTTTTAATCATGAGCAATTTTTCTTAAATCTTTTAACATTTAATTTTTGCTTATTAATCCATATGTTTATTTAAAACATTCGGAAAATAAAAATAATTGTCGTTCTTTTTCTAGACAATTTTCCATATTGCAGTTAAAGCCTGCAATAAGTTTACGAAACAACAACAGCGGAACACAATGCTGCGGACACATATTTATTTCCTCTCTTCCAAGAGTTACATAAGTTTCACAGTCGTCTATTTGTACAGGATCTCGTCTTTTGGAGAAGCCGACAGTAGACAACCACTTGCTAGCAAGTGAAAGCATTGTGGATCGGTCCAAGCGTTTGTGCGACCTTGAGCCTCAAGGTTTCTCCTTCCTACACCGATGGCCTGCATTTTATACATTGCGCGTACAATCGTGCGAATGAGAATGAAATAAGTAGGTATCCGAAGATCGCCGTTATAGTGCGCACTAACACTTTTTCTATTTAACTCTTTTCAATCGATAATTGTCAGTCATAACATCAACTTAGCTCTTTTTAATCTTTAATAAAGTTTTTTTATTTCTCTAAAAAATCATAAACATAATTCGTTTTATTTAGAATGTGTAAAATGCAACGACATTAAAGTATAATTGTATCACAATAATTTTACTGAAAGCAGACGCTACGAAGGCGAAATTGATCGTAAAAAGGAAAATCGTGTAATTTTAAGAACCAAGTATGATTCTTCTTGAAAAATAAGCGATACAAGATATCGGTTTTTCAAAGTTACAACACAGACAAAATCTCCCCACTTCTTTCCCTCTCTCAAATTTTTTATTTAATCTTGAACAAACTTTACATTTTTCTCAAATAATATTTATTTGAGGATTGGGTACTATACTTTGGGTAAGATACTTTAGTGTTTTAAAAAGATGGGCATTTTTATCTGAATATTTGCTAAAGAAGTTCGGTAAATATATAATCCATAACTGAATAAAACTTCAGAATATCTTTGTATATTTTTAAACGAGAATGAAGTATCCAAGAATGAAACGATCCATATGCGTATATGTAGGTATGTGTGTATACGCGCACGTGTGCGTGTGCACGGCAAATTAACTTTATTTTTCCGATTATATAATTTTAGCATTTTTGCATACTGCGCACTAACACTTTTTTCCGTTTAACTGTTTTCAATCAATAATCGTCAGTTAAACATCAAAGCTTGAACTCTTTTCAATCTTTAATGAAGTTTTTCTAAAGGACGATAAACTACTTGTTTTATTTAAAATATATAAAATGCAACATTAAAATTTATATAATCTTTGCATTACAATAAGTCTATGTAATTTCTATACAAAAAATTGAAGATAATAATAGTTAGCAGAATAATGTAATTTTAAAGTATATATTTAATACCACAGTACAATGTTGTAACATTTGTAATTATCATCTTTGAAAGTTAATTATACAGATGCAATTCCGTATAAGTTACTTATAAAATAAAGTGTTTCAATTTTGATGCCGACTAAAGTATAGTCGCAAAAGCGACAAACAAATAATGTAACGCGATCGATCGCTACGTGAACGCTATGGCATACTTTTTTCTAGAGCTACGCAAAGTTAACGTCATGTTCCCACGCAAACGTGTAGCATGATGTTAAGATCGAAATAAGTACAAATTTCGAATCGGTATACTGCAAATCCAAAAGTCAGTTAGTCACTCGTCTTGATCGAAACCGGACGGGCGGTTTTAATCGCTCGCGGTTGACCGACCAGCAACTTATCCGAAAGAACGCGAGAAGCATTATCGCATAAGTAGCTCTATCGAATTATTAGCCAGTTGCGGTTCGGCCGGCGTTTAAACTTTTAACGCAATTATACTTGAAAATTTTCCACAAAGCAAATTAATTTGCCACGAAACTAACTGGCATAAAGCGATTAAGTTAATAACATCGATGGATTATCACATAAATGATTAGATCGGATTCATTCGTTAAAAGTTCTTTTCCACATTGCGGCATTAAAATTAGATGACTTTACCATAAATAGTTTTCTGTATGTACAATTATGAGAAAATTTAAAATTTACGCGTTAAAAATATTGTTTTACTAAAGAAAAGCGTTTACATTTTTTGCAGATGCATTAATTTATTGTTTGAAAAAATACAGTTATAAATGAAGAAATAAGAATTTCTAGAAAGCTTAATTATTTTTCTTCTATCACTTTTTTCCTCCTTTCTTATAAAAAAAGAGTCCTGTTACTAGAATCACCTTGTATAGATCGCTTTCCACCAATTAAGCACCAGTTAAAGTTAAGTGGAGTTTAACTGGTCTTGTAACAGAAAATATGTTTGTATGTGTGTTCTTAAGTATGTCACTGCAAATCAAGTCGAAAAATATTGTTTTTAAAAATTTATTTTTTATAATTAACTATTAATATGTAATTAAAAAACATAACTTTATGCCTAACGTACGCTTAACGAAAAATATAATGTTGTATATATAAAATTTGAAATTATATAATAATTATCAGTTTAATTAGAAAAAATTATATGTCATATATTAAATATTTATACAAAACAATATTTTCGTGCTCTTATAATAATCTATAGATTAATCTGATTTTGATATATTATTTTTTTTACAGATCTTATAAATATCTGGAGAGTTATCAGTAATTATAAGAAAATGTAAAATCTCCTCGACACGTCCAATAGCATGAGCCGACAAATACGGCAACAGTTTCTTGCCGCCTTACGACTGACTGGATTCTATGGCTGTGAAATGGATTTCTGCCTCGTCATCGTCATACACTGGTTGCTCACACCGCCGGTTGTTGCGTAATTGCTCGCAATAATGTAGCAGGGGCAACCAATACATGTACGTACTCAATATCAGAATAGCAATGTCAGCGGAGATAAACGATTAAATGCACGCATGTAACATCAATCTATGTGTAAAGAGGAGGGATATCCAGTGAGGCGAGGAAGGGTATCCAGGGTCGCCGAGGAAATCAAATAAAATAAAGCGTACTTTTTTCAGACTGCCGGACTCCAATAATATCTATCGTCTCTTCTTGTGTTTCAACGACTCTGAGGATATGTGTGAATAAATGTGTTTACATGACAAATGTCACGATAAGATACTAAAATTTGTCCACGATAAGATGTTAAAATTTTTGATAACAGCGCGCAATAACGATCGCTTTAGGCTTTCGTTTAGATGATCGTTATCTATCTCGCTACCCTAACACGCGTTTGAAAAGAGTAATAAGTTTCGTGTATCTTAAAACTTTTATACTTCGCATGACTAGATGTGACGCTGTAATTAAGAAAATGAAGTGTAATGATGACAAGGCGAAGTATATAGTAGTGCCGTTGACTTTATGTAATTCGCGACTCGACGTTGCCATATTATATTCTTTCAACATTTGCTGGATGAATATTGATCTTGTTAGCTTTTCATCGTGAACACCATCTACAAGCGTATAAACTGTAAAACTTAACGAGAGTTGATGTGTCGAGGAAGATAAAAGACATAAGTTATTTTTATCACTAAATTAATCATAAATTAATTTCTAAAGATTTTTACCAGACTTAATTTTAAATATATTTCAATACATTTATTTAAATCTTTTGCTCTGTACAGTGAAAGAATTGATATCGCAAAGGTATAATGTCTAGCTCACAAAAGATCTACTAGATAAGTATGTAATAACAACAACGCTTTGAAAGTACTTATATTACGTGGTTTATTATAACAGAGCTGTCGAAACGTTGGGAAACGCGGTGGTAAAAAGTGAATTTTAAATTCTATAAGGTATATAATAATGAGATTCCATGTCTAATCTCGATCTCAGGTAAACGAGTTACTATCGATCCTCCGCTTTAGGCGTGCACAAATATCCATATCCACGTTAACTAGATTCTTGCAGTTTCGCGTGGTACTTCACGGTAAACGCTTTAACACCTACAGCGTGCACCTCCTCAAACCCGAATCTCTCCAGGTTTTCCTTGCAACGATCATAATATGCGGCAACGTTATCGTAACGGCTGATATCGAAGTCAAAACACTGCAATTGAGAAATCGGCCTCGGTGTATTTGCGTATGATTACCCCGACATAAAGTCATCCACCGTAAAACACGGACGTACCAGTATCGTACAGATAGTTGTGCTGATAGTGAAATCGGCGATAGTCAGGTTATCACCGGCCGCGAATTCCCTGCCGTCGAGAAAAGCGTTGAGCACCTCGAACGATTTCTCCACTCGAGCTAGATCCGCCTCGTTAACTGGATATGCTGTACCTCGGATTATTGGCATAATCTAAACGATGACGATTTTATCTGTCGTATCTCGTATCAAATAATAAAAAGAAAAAGAGTGTGCCAATATAATTCCGAGTGTCCCAGAAAAACACGGAGAATAGTTTTTTTTAATCGCAATAGAATTTTTTGATCACACGGAAAAGATGAATTAATGCAACTAAATGGAAACTGACAAGGAAAAATCAATTTTATTAAAGATAGTCGTTATATAGACATTGCAGTTTCCGTCATAATTTGTAAATCATGAATTTAAAAAATTTCAAAACGAGCATCAATACGTACGTAACATTTGGTAAGATTGAAATAGAGACTGCCAGCATCGAAATACATCATTTGATCGACTACTGCCCTTTCTTTCGGATCTTTCGGATAAAGCGAGTCATTTCTTGCGTATTTGCTGACTAAATAAGCCATAATAGGACGACTGTAATAACACAAATTCCGGCTTAACGCTAACAATGAGTGATTATAAGACTAGAATATGAATCCCTTACGTACCTTTCACACAGAATAAAACCGTTGTCATCGATGGTCGGTATTGTATGTTGCGGATTAATCTGAAATAAAATGAAATTAAAATAGCTTCGAAAGCTTAAAAGAGGATTTTCTGTACTCAATGCCTGTTTACAAAATCCCGATTGTACAGATTGAACTGTATTTATATACGTTAAGAGTTACTAAAACCTATGCGAAAACGAGAGCAATGTAAACTGGAAAACCTGTAAAAATTCCGGCGTCAAATGGTCCCCTCTGGAAACATCTACGATCTTCAAGTTAAAATGAATGCCTAGTGCTTTTGCGAGTAGCATAATGGTGCGACAGGGTGGGCTTGGCGGTACGTAATAAAAATCAATCGGCATCTCGCTGCTTCCTCGCTGCTTCCCTGCTTGTTTTCGTTATTTTTTCGCGTCTTTTCCACCTCGCGTTTCTCTGTCTCCGTTCTAGATTTTTATACTGCAACTTCAACTAAAGGAAAACTTTTCAAATTTGTATATACCTTAAATCTATGTGCACCGTCGCTGCGCACGATTTTCCATCGTGCCTAGTTTTGAAACAGGACGAAATATTTTTATAGGCAACTTTTCTGATCATTTCTGCACGAGACACGCGTACGCGTAATTTGTTATACAAGTAAATGTAAGTTATTAAGGATGAAAACATTATACGTAAGGAAGAGATAAGTCAATTAGGTAGAGAGAAGTGCCATCTTCGGTTGGACTAAATCTTGATCTAACAATAAAATTTTTACGTTAATTTTGTACAGTTTTTCCAACTTAGCAAATTGCGCGTCGATTCTTTTGTCGGTCTTGAAATGCAGTTTTCTGTCGGAAGAGAAGTCCATAAGCGAAAATGAGATTGTTAAAGTGTTGAAATAATTATGAAGCGCCAAGTGTAAAATAAAATGTCGACAGTTCAACAAGGTGCGGAGAATTAAATTATCTGTCATAAAAGAGTGAGTTTGTTATAAACGTTCTTTACTAATTTGGGCGAGAATTTGGGGCATTAAATTAAGCGTTAATAGCGCAACGGAGTATTTGAGGTACGCAAATAACGTGAATAGTTACGTCTCGCGAGAGCGCAGCAATCGCTCCGTTCCAATTACCGTTAATGCAGTAATTCCGCTAATTAATGCGACGTTTAAATGGCTTTCAAATGTGACCCTTACCTGTGATCCCGCTCAAACTCGACCAATTGATACGAATCGATGATACTTGCGACCGTTAGGCATCAGCTTAATTAATTGGCTTATCGTTCATTGGGGCGACGTACATACCGGAAATATGTCACTCATCGTCTCTTTTGATGGTAATAGCTCGTCGTAAGAAGCTACGTGTGCAAAAGTGAAGAAAGTGCGCGCGCATAAACGATTCGCAAAGTTACCATAGCAATAGCGTACCGCCAAACAAAACTGCGGAACTTCAACGTTGACATTATCCGTTACGATCGAAAGGTTCCCAGTAAGGTCGATCGATCGGTTAATAAAAACAGGAAAGACGTCCAGTAAATGGAACTTGCTGTACTGACATATACATATAATATATAACATATGGCATATGTAAATGATGCAGCAGAAAACATGTCGAAAGATATATTCTTTTATTCGAATTTTATTCTTATATTCGATATTTTATTCAAAAGTAGAGCGATTGGCTCAATATTTTGTTTCGAAAGGAGTTAAAATTTCATGCATTGTATATATACAGTATAGAGAAAGTTCGGGTAGTACGGAATAGTCGGGTATAAGTGGAAGCTTTTTAAAAAGGGTAAAAAAATGATACCAAGTACATGCGACCCTCGTTGTATTAGACATTGTACAAAAGATTTTATTTAAAAAACTGGCATCAACTTATTGTAGTTGTCAATCAAATCTGATGTTTCAATTAATATTTTATACTTTTACATACTAGTGAATAAATCCTTTCATCACATGTGAAATATATAAAATATTTGATATAAAATCCTGGTGCCAACTAGAGTCTGTAAAATTTAAATTACTGTGCTTTAATATAAAAGCTATTATATCGTCAAATAAAACTTTACAAAAGTTTTGTAATATAAAAATCTGACAGCAACTGATAGATTTTCTATGATTTATTTTTTTAATTATCAAGTTTTAATAGTTAAAAAAACTATTATATGTAAAAGAACTTAGCGCTGTTGGATTTCAAAATATTTTCAGTCAATAAAAAGTGGACAAGTACTTTAGTCACATAATGGAATAAATTATAAATTATAAATATTATTACTAGTATTTAATTATACATATCTTATATACACTCTGTTAGATTCTGTTTTCACAAATAAAATATTATAAAAATAATCTAATAAAGCGTATCACTAATAACAACGTACATCTAATGATTTGTTATTATATCACAATTTAAACATATCGCATATACTTTAGAATATTTTAAGATATACTTTTTAACAACGCTAAGTTTTTTAAAGTAAAAATGTAAAATGTTGAAACATTAGATTTAATTGACAACTTATAAAAATTGGCGTCAATTTTTTATATCAAATCTTTTGTACAAATGTTTAATACAACGAGGGACGTGTGTACTTGGTGCCACTCTCTACCTTTGTTCAAAAGGTAATTTTGATTATATAGATATATTTTTACACGGGCAATCGGTGATCAACTGCTATTGAAGATTGTAGGTACTCGGGCACAGAGTCGTTACGTTGATCGGCAATTATGTCGGGCGTTATGTTGACCGTTAGGCGGGCTCCTTAATTCTCCGGCACGAAAAGTGGTGATTTCGGTGCAACGTGGCCGGCGGTTTTACGACGCGCCGTATTAACGACGTACTCCCGCAATTCTCACGGTTTTGTTTGCGCGGCGCCATATTCGTCTCAATAAATTTCTTTCGTTAGTGCCGTCGGGATGCCGGGTCACCGACCCCTTTTTTGACAATAAATTCCCGTTACGCAAGTGCGACGCGCCCCATGCAGCGCGATATAATATATTAATTAGCTTCGGAGATTCAAGCTCTCCCGGGATGAATGGGAAGATCAGAACGCTGTCGCCGCGCGTGTGCTGATTCAATAACGCGCATACGCAGATGCTGCTAATTGCCACGGTTTAGTTCCGGCAGCAATTTGTGGCAGACACGACGCTCTATTGACCGACACGAAAGAAACCGAGTGGATTCGATCCGGAATTACATGAACGCGCGGTCAACTGTATTCCCAGCAACCGGACGTAACCAGCCGACGGTACCAGTCTAGGGTGACTTCCGCAGTCGATAGGATGGTCGATGGAACCTGGACAAATCAATATATCGAAAGAATCTTTTGTTTAACGACGCGTAAAAAGTCGCAAGTTGCGTCTTCGCGAGCTCGTCGCAGATCGGATCTGTTTTAAATTTAAAATAATAAGAAATTAATTAGCAGCGAAACGAGTTCCAAAACGGGATTCGATGCGTGCGCTATCGATGAATCGCCAGACGACAAAAAATGTCTGGAAAAGACGCACATATTATGTACTACACGAGATTTCTAATAAAAGACTCCCAATTCTTACCGTCGTTTTCTCTGGATGGCTCCATATGTCTCTTGCATTTTTTATGTGCGCGCGGACGAGATTTTCCGTAGAATTTCACTTTCATCGAATTCGCGCGACATTCGAGAATATTACGTGTCCGCGGACGACCAAGTCTGCCGACTGTTGATAACGTCACGGAACAGCCGCGACGTTGGCGAAGTTGGTTCTCCGTTCGCTTGGCTGTTATCGCAGCGAGCGTCGGGCGTGTCTGTGGTGCGATTATCGATTAGCCCCGGCAAATCCACTGAGATGGAAAATGAAATAGCCGCGCGCGCCCCGTGCTCAGCTCATCGACGGGGCGTCAGGGAAATGCGTGATCTATCAACCCTATCGGCGTTACGCTCGCGCTTCAGGCTCGTCGGGCACTCGACCGGCCAGCGCGACGGACGCCCGGTAATATGTTTTAATAATGGGGGCATAATGCGCGTAAAATGCATCGCGCGTTGATACGTACATCGTACATTCGTATACCGGGAACCGTTCGGTATCCGATTGTATGTTTTATTGGAATTATCAACGTATACACGCGGACAGAGAGAGAGAGAGCGCGCGATCTCAATTTCGTGCGCTCGTTTAGCGTCCGGTCAATATGCACCAAAGGGGAAGAGGGGCCCCCCGCGCGCATCCGGGGAAATCCGATATACACTTTTGTTTATCCCATGCCTGAAATATTAAATGAGCGCCGGAGAAACGCGCGATAATTATCGCTGTGCGACACTAAAGCGCTTGTAACATTGATGCATCGGCCTGGTCGGACGGGCGCGCGCGTGTATGTTTATCTGAATTATCCCTCATGAACGAATAATGGGAACTTTGCGCGGCTCTCGCTGTCAATATTATCCGCGCTCATAAATATCAAAATTCGAGTTCATCGAAGATGATCGAGCAATTAGGCCAAAAATTATTGCTACCGATGGATTAACAAGCGTTTCGACGTCGATACGTCGATATTATATATTAATCGACCGTACGCCGTTCGACAAAGGCCCGGGGGATGAAATTCCCCGTTCATCGCGCGTCGATTGAACGCGCGCGCGCGCGCGCGTTCACCAGCGATTTAATTTGCTCTCGACAAAGTTTACAAACGACGAATAATTATGATGCTGCCTCGGGAACAACGTGAGGCGCGCCGCGCGCCGCGCCTCGTCGGGAAAGTTTGATTTCAGCAAAGAAATACAATTCCTTTGCGCGCGCGCGCCATTTTTCTTCCTCCCAGACGTGCCGGACGTGGCCTCTCTTGGTCAACGAAGTCAAAGACATCGCGCGTCAAAAGTCAAAAGTAGCAAAAGGACGTTCGGGCGTCCGTTCGTTCAACAAGAGGGACACAGCATCCCCCGATGCTCGATGGCGACGCGGTAGGTAAAAGATCAAAGCGTCAAGATTGCGAAGACGTGTGCTGGACAGCGCGTCTCACGACGGGAATGTCGCTTTATGCCTTTCCAACCGGTTTCGCTGTTGTCACTCGAGAAGTAGCAAAGATGTTACCAGTTCCAACGAGTTCCAAGGAGTTTACGAACTGCCCCCAGTGTTAGTTCCCCGTTCGCTTTCTCGCTACGTCGTCAGGGGAATCGGTTGTTACGGAATGCGATTTCCCCATGCCAAAATCATGGCCGAGACGAGTGTTACGTTAAACCGAAAATCGCAGGAATAATTTTCCCTTCCATTTAATTGCCAATTAATGCTGGCATGGCATATTCATATTCGATTTATACTTTATACGACTGCATATGTATTTTTAATCCTTGTGGTTGAATGCGGACCATGTGGTCTAATATAATTCTTTCTTTTTTTGCTATTTTCCAATGTAAAACAGAAATACTCTTATCAAGTCACGTAGTGTCTCTCTATTACACTTGCTAGAAATAAATTCTATACTTTTTATATGAAAGGCGTTCATTATATTTTAATTTTAGCTTCTTCATCAATGCGATATTCTCGCATTTTATACAGAGGCAAAGTGAGAAAGGAGAGCAGAAGAGAAAGAGAGAGAGAGAGAGAGAGAGAGAGAGAAAGAGAGAGAGAGAGAGAGAGAGAGAGAGAAGGAGAAAAAATACTGTGTACAAATCAATGCTTATAATTGAAGAATTACCCTTCGACATGAAAATGCAAACGTCATAGTTAGCCGATGGGACATTACTTTAAGAAACTTGAGCTCTTGGAAATAATTTTCGACCGGATGGGAAACGAGAACTTCACGGACTCGCGAAAGTTATTTCATACTACTTTGATGCAGCGTGCTCCGCACGGCGAGGCTCCTGGCTTGGCTATACAAAGACACTCGAGTTTCGAAGTTGGTGGATTACAACCAACTTCTCCCGCAATATGTAACTTATAGAATTTACAGGTACTTCGGCGAAAACCGTCGAGAGCCATTAACCGTTCTCGACATGTTTCCGAGATCGGCGAAACATACTTACTACATAAGCCTAATCTAGACTAGTGTCAAGTCTTTATCTACGTTGCTCACGCTGACGATTCATTTGCTCGCCAGATATACATTGGCCAACTGATAACTGCTGTCTGCAGTCACTGTAGAGTTTTCTTTAACATATTATACCCTTGATTTTACTGGGTTTTAACTTGATCGTTAAAAAAGATCTACATAAACATGAAGGGCGAGCTTTGATAATATTGTATATAAATTTTCCGTTGAGGCTCTCAGCACATACCTATAATTTTCACCTATATTTTAAAGTTTCAAAAAAGCATGCTTATATTTTCCTCAAAGATTGTATTAGAAGACAGTTGTATCTTTATCAAAGTCTTTTATACCATTACATCTTTATCACAATTGTAATTCATTTTTGCAGAAGTCCCAAAAGTTAGACTTTGGGTTAAATCGGCGCTTGCCCGATGTTTATTCATTTTCCGTTCCGGAGCTAAGTAAGCTCCGCAATAACATACGTACGGCGAAAATCGGTCATCCTTCAAGATACGTGTGCGCACACGGATATTAACACAGCGCGAACAACGACGCGGCGCGGCGTTGAGTCCATTGGCGCTAACTCTTCGTAACGACGCGTGTAGTGGAAACGCATGTAAGCAAATGGACAAGTACAAAATACACGGCGGGAGCACAAACGAGCTACCTCGCGTTTCGCTGGGAGCTACGCGCCGGAGGTTGCACACGGTGCATGCACTGATCTAAAAGCCGAATAAGCGCCCGCCGGCTAATGAGAAACAGCTAATCATACGCCGCACCGTGTATCATGTTTTATTACGTTTACGCGTACAATATATGCCTGTCTACCCCGATGCCTTGGGAAATACTAAACGTGTATCAAAAACGGTCTCGCGCCTTCCTATTAAACACATTACCCCGTACGTCCCGTAAATCACCGTCCGATATTTCGCGCGTTAACTCGTCCCGCCCCCGCGTCCAAGAATATATTTTATCCCGCGGTTGCGGAGAGTGCTTTACGGTAGCCCGCTGTTATTTCCACTCGTCGTCATATCGCACACGTTCGTTCTGGCGAAGGAACTCCGCCGAACTATACGCCCGGAGTTGCGTGCGGAAAACGCAAACGAAGGAAATTTGCATAATATTAATACGACGTTATATATAAAAGTGCGCGCGTACGATGCCCTTTTTCGCTCGCGCGCATTGTAATTAGCATACTTTCGCCACCACCCTCTTTAGCACGACTCTTCCGCCGACAAGCGGTGACATTATCGCGCTCGTCGTCGGCGCTTATCTCCGTCCAGTTATTTCGGACTTTTGTCGCTATCGTTACAATCGTTACAAAATGCCGGCGTGAGTCATGCAATATGTAATTCCCGGACTATTTCGGGAATTCGGGAAGACCGACTGTTGAAAGGCGACTGATTACAGGCGGAATATTCACGATTCTACAGCTATGTACATCTCCGTCGCGCGCGCAATGTGTACATGTACACACGTTGTATATTTCACGAGAATTTGTACACGGCCGCCGCCGACGCCGTTTGGGGTTTCCTTTAATCAAACAACTGATACAATGTCGCCGGAGAGAGTAAGAGAGAGAGAGAGAGAAACTGAGAGATCCTTGCTAAGATCCTCGCTGCCACCGCATTCGAATATTCTTCGTACTTACTTGCATCGTAAAGTCGGGATATCCCCGGACGCATCGATACTCGCGCGAAACGCAATTTCTGTCACGCGTCTCGCCGCCGCGCCGTTTGGTCGCGGCGCGGCAGAGAAAACGCGTGCTCACACAATCCGCCGGAGTAAATTCCGCTGATCCCAGTTCAATCCTCTCCTCAATTCTCTCTTTCTCTCTCTTAGAGTTCTTTTCTCGCATGAGCAACACGCGGAAGGAGCAGATGTGCCCGCGCGCGCGTTCAGCAGATCCAAAAGGAAAGAGGCCAAAGTGAGAGAGAACGAGGAGGATCAAACTTTGCGCCTGCTCCCTCTCTCCTTCTCTCTCTCTCTCTCTCTCTCTCTCTCTCTCTTCTTCTTCTTTTTGTTTCTCCTCTTTCTCTCCTCGGAGAGCAGCAGAGACTCGCCTTATCTATAACCATTCGGCACAGTATCCTACTTTACTCTTCCGCGTACGTACTCTTCCCCCGTTTTGACAGCGAGGCGCGCAAGAAGCAAATCTCCGCCACGCCGGCTGGCGAAATCCCCCGCGTTTCGTCATAGTCACCCAATTCCGCGCGGCGTGCGCGAACGCGAGCGCGAGCGGGATGAAATATGCTCGACTAACCCGCGCTTTACGTGCGTTATCCGCGCGGGTGTTACTCGGATATTTACGATATTTCGAGATTGCGGAGTATCGGCTTTTTGAGGAGAATACCTCGTAACGCGCCGGTCTTACTTTGCGAAAGAAAATCTCGGGGAAAAACTGCACCGATAGATTCTTTCGGAGAAATTATCGGGCAACCGGTACGCTTTTGGAGAAAATCGTATTTCACCTGTGATATTTACAACCTACTCGCGTATTCAATGAATAAAAATACCGATACCTTCGTGTTAAATTTTAAACTTCCGTGAAATATTTCATTGATACGGTATTTTGATGTCGAAACATTAATTTTTCGACTAGCGGATAATGTATTACGCGGATGTTATACGTTACTCGATTACCTCGACGTATTGATTCGTTTCTGCGAGACAATAATACCGATTTATTTATGATACTTCGTGCGGAACATGAGTAGAAGTATCGGCGTTTCTATTGAATGTAAAGCGTCTGCAGGTATACGCGTTACTTCCGTCTTCGCAGACACGAAAGCCGAAAGCGAGTATTGCCGCGCTACCCCCTTCGCCGCTTACTAAATTAGCGCCGCGCTGTCTCCCCCAACCCCGGGAGCTTTGCGCGATGCGACCTGTTCCTTATCTGTAACCACCATGCCACCACCACGGACCGGTATCCACTATATCATCCGACTGGCACCCTCCACGGACTTTGTGCCTATCTTCTCCTCCCCCCCCCCCCGTTTCCTCGCTCACGCATACCAGCGTGCACACATTGCACACAAGCTGTGCACCGTGGATTTGGTTACCATGAGCCGATGAGCGCCGGTTAGGCGGGTCTGTTCGGAACATATGCTTTGGTATTAATTTCCCTATAGTCTGCTGATATGCTCGTTTTGAGCACAGTACAAGCGTATTCAGCGTCGCGGGCAACCAAGCGAATGCGCACCTATTAACCTTTCTCCTCGCTACAAGCATGCTTGCAGCGATAATCCATAAAGTTTTCTAAAGCCATCAGGTATCCTTTCGACTGTAGATTCTCCAGCCAATTGTAAAGACAATTTCTCGTTAGCGAAAACATTGAGAGAAATCGTTATTCGTCACATTTCCAACATTATATATTTTCTATAACTAAAGTTTAAAATAAAATTTGATTAATATACATAAAGAGAAGTTGTTATGTATTTTCATTTTCATTATTTAATACATCAGAAGTTTAAGACGTGTTTTAAAGTTATTAGATTCGTTATTAAGGTTACATTAATGTAGTAATCATATTTTGATGAACACATCAGCAGATTTAATATACGTTTAATATTTTATGTGCAAACAAGAGCAAAATAGACTGTAATACGGAAAATGTTACATGAAGAATGCTATAAAGTATAAAGGATAACTATAAAGTCAGTTTCCATGGCAAAATGCAATCATTAATAAGGTCCTTATAAAAGTTTACAACCATCGTTAAATTTCAACGTCGATTCTAAATTATAAAAGGTAATACTTCTTCTTCAAACAATCAGAATACGTTATTACGAACGAGCGGAAGTTCCTTGTGTTGTTATACAAGTACCTACTTACGGGCTTATACATATACTTATAGAATATATCGGAAAACGGGAAAACATAAAATGTATATTTTCCCCTATTTACAAATTCCTTATAGAAGGTTTAACGTTTGAAGGTTTAATCAATGATTTGGTTGGAAATCATACTTTGTTTGCATCCATCTTTCAGCTTTCAATGATGAGTATTATAGCTGAAAATATATATAGATATAATATAATTCACATGGCAGTATATTTACAAAATATAACGGTTCTTGGAATATGTATAGCTTTCGGAGTGCGTAAAAAATCAAATTTTAGTATTTCTTACGTTATTTTGTACCATAAACTCTTTTAGCTTTCAACGATGAGTAATATATGGGAA